ATACACCAACTCTGCGATTCGTGGCGTTTATGGAAGCTTTCGTCTCGGATGAGTTCAGTTCAGATTCATCGGCATAGCCACATGAGGCACTTTCATGAGGCCACTTGACAGGCACCTCTGAGAACCCCTTTGTGCTCGCATGCATTTCTGTGGAAACTTTTGCCGTTGCCGCGGGGTTTTGGCGGTCCCCTGGTGGAATTCCCTCTGTTTGGTTTCGATTCGCAGGTTGAAGTTGGCTCGCATGCATTTGCACCATTGACGCATTTTTGCCGCAGTTGTGGTTTTGTTTTCACCCCTTTCCAACCTTCTCTCTCCCTTGCGAGATGGCTGGACACCAGCTCTATGACATGATGCATTCGCTCCTGCATAGCATTGCGACCGGCACCGCGTCCGGCTCACCAGGCAATTGTGGACCGAACTTGCAGCTGTCATCCCAGATGACGCAGCCCATGAACCTTGTACCGTCACCCAACTCGCAGACGGCATCCTTCACACCTTTCCCCATGATGCCCTACGGCGGCCTCTCGAACTTTGGCAACCCGATGGCCATGATGCCCTACGGTGGCCCTCCCAATTACGGCAACTTGGCACCTGGCACCATCATGCCTTTCATGACTCAGAGCAGCATGCCATCTTCACCGCCCGAGCCTCAGCCGGCGCGCGCGCCCGAAGCTGCCGCTGCGGCTCCTGCCGCTACCTCCTCAACCAACCACCCTCCCCCGGACACTCGGCACCATCCCCACTCTCGCAGATCCCGTTCCCGCCACAGACAGCACCGACACTCCCACTCCCACACCAGCCACCATCGCAGGCACAACAAGTCGCACCGACGACACGACACCCGACGATCCCGCAGCTACAGCAGGTCACGTTCCCCTTCCCGACACTTCCACCACTCCCGACGTGCACACCACTCCACTGTCTCCCTCCGCTCCCGCTCCCCCCGACACAGGTCCCACCATCGACACTCCCCTGCACCCAGAGCCACGACTTCGCACCGACCCACTCACACTACTCATGATTCCACCTCCTGGCGCACTTCCGGGAAGGATTCCAACAAGTCTCAATGGTCCTCCTCACACTGGCGGAACCAATCGTGGGGATACCCACCACAGAACAAAAACCGCTGGGACATGCACCACCATGGCGCCAGCCACACCGGCCACCGAAACAACCAGGACAAACGATCGTCCTGGTCACTGCAGCACCATGGGCAGCAACCCCACCCCACTTCCCGCACCGGCCACCACAACACTAGCTTGCCCCCTCACCCAGCACCTGCGGCGGCCTTCACTTCCACTCCCCCTCCCCCTCCCCGACCCACGCCGGCTACTCCTCACCCTCCCCAACCCCCCTTCGACAACACCGGTGATTTGGACCCCCCTCCATCGGAGGCGGACATCAATGCCACCACCACTTCCGACAACCGGTGGCTTGATCTATGGAGAAACGTCATGGACACGGCCAAGACTGACCCGCTGCGAGTTCCCACGCCTAGGGAGTTGGGGGAGCTGGACCCGCTTCCAGCCTTGGACATCTCCAGGGTGGAACAGACTAAGGCCATTTTGATGGACCTGGACCCTGCTTTGCCACCTTCACATGCCGATCTCCTCGCGGAATGCTGGGAACTGCGAACCATGGACACGGATGATCCCATACCGTTCGATCCCAGCTTCTACCACCTCTTGGGACGGGAATCACACGGCATGGTGTTCGCAACCACTTGGTTTCCCCGACCTCATCCTTGGCCAGTTGCTGGCGGAGACCCGGAAGCTGGATCCGGCACGGCCTCCCATCACGCTGTCATGTATGTGCACGGCACCACCCCGGATCGAGTGCGCCGCATGTGCCATGAGAACATGATCCGACCCGCTGCTTGGAGGCCCGAGAACCATGACTACCCGAGCTTTGGATGCTACGCTCAGGCCACCCCCACGGCATGCACGCCCGACACGCTCGGCCAGCTCTTGCAGAACTTTACAATCGGAAAGTCTCAACTCGGCGCCATCGCTTTTGGGGAACTACGCTCCATCAATCAGCACAAAATCCTCGAATCCGGGGGAAGCCACGAGGATCAACACAACGTGCGGCGCCACTTCGCATGCCGCCGAGGCAAAAAGTGGTGCCTTCACTCCAAGTTTGCGATGCTGAGAGGCATCGCGCTGCAGCGCCCGGCTTAGCGGGGCGCAACTGTACCATCTTCCACCCAACCAGGAAAAGAATTGGTGCACTGTTTGATCGCCTTTTTTCTTTGCTTTGCTGTTCTGCCTTTCCGCGACCGTTCTCTCACCTTGTGACCTTACCCGCTTGATTCCGCTCACCAGCTTGTGGTTCGAACATTTCCTTTTCCCCCGTGTTTTCTCATGGCTTTCCAACCCCCTCGAGGTTTGGTTACGGCGCTCCAAAGGCAAAACTTACCACCGCAGCCTTCGCCCACGGCATCCCATCATCATGGCATCGTGTACGGCAACAACATGGCCGGGAACCCGTGCGGGGCCCT